AGAAATTATTTTTAAATTATACTTTTCAGTTAAGTAAATTTAAATGTAATGTTATATTACTGATTAATTAAATATAGCTTTAGTTTTTTTTAAAATTATCTTATTAAATTACTATGGTTTTTTATAGTACAAAAATGAAAAAATGATAATTTATTTAATAAATATTTTACACAAATGATTTTAGAAATATCCATTTAAACATTTGTTGAATAATGTACAATAATCACCCTTCATAGCTTTGTTTCATTTTCTTAGTATCTTTCCATTGAGACCATCATCCAATTAATATTTGTAATTAATATATTAATATTTTTATTAATGTAAGCCCATGACTTTTGCCCTGATTCAGTCACCTATCAAATATGTTTATTATCTCAGATCTACTGAGATTTTATGTTCTGATGACTTTGTATCTGATCTAGGATTTATTCTTGGTAGTGATCTTGATCCTAGACCCCACATTGAGCATATTTGTTGTAAGGCCTTTAAAACTCTGGGGTTTGTATTGAGATTATGTAGGGATTTTTGGTTTATTGTATCATACAAAGTGCTTTATTGTGCACTGGTTTGCTCTATTGTTGAGTATGGTGCCGTAATTTGAGATTCGCATGACCTCAATGACTCTCTTAGACTTGAAAGGGTTTAGCGTAAATTTTTGAGATATGCTAGTTTTAGATTGAATATCCCTTGTGAACCCCACAACTATCGATCAGTTGCTTCTCAACTAGGGCTGGTTCGCTGGCTGAGCGTAGACGGATCTTGGGTATTAAGTTCCTAAATAGATTATTACTAGGTAATATTGACTTTCCATATTTGCTTTCCTTAATCTGTTTTAGAGTTCCTCAGCGTCATTCCCGTTCTGTTGCTCCTTTTTATGTTCTTTTCACCCCCTCTAATTACCTTAAAAATTAAAAACCCAAATTACACGTATGATGTCAAATGTCAACGTTGACCCTTCATTTTATATTTGCCTATAATTAACTGAATAGTTGTTAATTTATTATTTATCATATTTGTACAATTAATGTATAACTTATATGTATATATGATTAAAGGGTTTATCCCGTATATTTANATATGATTAAAGGGTTTATCCCGTATATTTAATAAAAATAAAATAAAATATTATGTTATGTTGCGAGGCTGCGTTTGTAATAACGTAGACGACACAATTTAGAATAGTCGATTCGTGCGGTTTATTTAAAATATTAAACAGATTGTTATGCTACCGACTCGAAACACTTCTTGGTCGGGGCACTCAGTATTTTCGCCTGTTATGGACACGACTTGAATCTTAATTAACATTACTACACAATTAGATATTTAAATGGTTTATATGCNTTAGACATTTAAATGGTTTATATGCAACCTGGTTACTTCATTTATTACGTCTTCACAAAAGGAAAAGAAACGTTCTCCACGACATAAACCAGCGGATGAGCATCCAAAAATTTCTCTTTGTTACCAAATTGGCGATCACTGATCTTAGCTGTGCGCTCTCAAGTCGAGGCACTCCACTGTCCGTCATAGGATCGTTTTAGCATAAGCGCCAAACACAGACTCGCCCGTACACCACGACGCGCAACA